GTATTTATAGAGGGGTTTGTTCATACATCATTCGCTTGATTTCATTATTGCACTATTTATGTCTGTAGATTTCAATTACAATACATATATTTAAAGGCCGTTTTCTCAAAAATGAGATTGTTTCTCCACTTCAGTAGTACTGAAATATACCAAATTTTAAAATTGTATTCCTATCTATATTTTGAAGATTTTTACTGAGGGATTTGTTCATATATCATTCACAATGATTTATATACCATTTTATTTCAAAAAACATGCTAAAAGTGTATTTTTTCATATTTCTTCATCAATACCACTTACATATACCAAAACTTAACAGTTTTATTCCTATCTATATTCTGAAGGTTTTTACAGAGGGGTTTGTTCATACATCATTCACTTGATTTTATTATTGCACTTTATCTATTTGCGTCTGTAGATTTCAATTATAATACATAAAGGCCATTTTCAAAATGAGTTTGTTTCTCCACTTTAGCAGCACTCACGAACACCAAATTTTACGGTTTTATTCCTATCTATATTCTGAAGATTTTTATAGAGGGGTTTGTTCATATATAATTTGCACTAATATATATTACATTTTATTCCTAAAACATGATGAAAATGTATTTTTTTCTGCCTGTTGGTGGTATTTTCTGATTTATAGAGTAATAAAAAGAGATATCAAAAATCCCTTCTGTAAAAACCTTTAACGCTAATATATCTACAAAATCAAGCAAAAAAAATAAATCTGGTTTTATCCAGTGTTCAGATTTATTCTTTGCAATTTTTGCAAATTAGTGCATATTTAATTAGAAAATGCCTCATTTGAGTATTTAAACGAAACATTTCTGAAAACCTATAATACAATACAGTTTTCTTAATGTACTGTATGTATGGGTGATATATTAGCCCAAATTTTTACTCTGTTCACCTGTAGTGTCTTGCCTTAATAAACATACGGAGACACAGTGAGGCATAAAGAATCATAGGGAAGTATAAAGAAACCTAAAGAGACAGGAATGGAGAGAAGCTGTCTGCTGAGAGTTTCATGTGAATCAGTTCAATCTCTGCCTCATTGATTCAAATGCAAAACATGGATAGAGACCTTAAGTAGTGTGACATTTGTTAATTAAGATAGAAACTCTCAAGATCACATCCCTGAGCTCATGTTATGATGCTTTGGACTGAATTCAGCTCCCATACGCTGTAAAATGTAATTTGATTCACATAATTAGGGCTTTATCCTTAAGGTGTACGTTGAAACCTAACTTTGAGTGATGTGACTCATGCAAAAGGGCCTTTATGATTCAAATAAGTGTAGTACAAGTTAACAATGTTTACACCCAAACATATCAGCAGAATCTTTAAGGACATTTGGTTCCTCTTCTCCTTTTTTCCCCCAGATCTGCTTTAGATTTTTGTGTCTCTTAAAGTCACTGTCACATTCATGACTTTGTTTTAATGATCAAGCTCTTGTCTTTTTTCGTTGCATAAAAATTGCATATTCTCTGAAAGGAAATTGGATCAAAGTGTAAGAGAATAGTTTACACTTCAGTATAAAACATGTTTTTGCACTGAATTGCAGTATATGTAAGTCTTCAGCAGACAGCTGCTCTGTGTTTTCCTCTCTGTATCTCCTGCACTTTTATTCTGCTTTGACCTGTTAAGGCTGCTGCTGCTGATGTTCAACCAGAAAGAGCCTCTGTGGATGTGATAGATTTGATTTGTTGTTTTATTTCCACTGTTTCGACTCATGTTAATGTACAAAGAACCAGCAGACAGAAAACTATACATATGACATGTATTTACTTATTGTTTTATTATATTATTAAGTACATGAGGGGTTACATAATTATTCTGCAGCTTATAAAGTTGACATTTTAGCACAAGGACTGATATGCTTATTACTCACGTCTATGAAGTCTTCAGGTCTCGACTCATTCAGACCAGCATGTTTACCTGCTGTTTAAGCAAAAAATAATAATAATAACAATTAAAGACACTTAGAGTTGGAAAAAAACAAAAGGACAAAAAGCAAAAAAGTTTGTAAATACATGTATATATACTTCATAAATATCATATGATTATCTATACGCGTTTCAATACACTTGTATAATGGATTTTGTGTCTGAAATGTTTTATTCTTTAAACTCTATGTAATTTATTTTTGTTTGTTTTTGTCTGAGAGTTTTGTCAAAAGTACTTTTGTTTGATATATTCAACACTGTATATGACGTGGTCTTTTTGCATATGAAAATATTTGATGTTTATATATA